CTACCTCACCTTCGATTTCCCACTGTAACTTGGTTTCAACTTACTCTTTAGTACTCTAATTAGTCCCACACAATTGCCAAAGGCTTTTTGTAAAAGGCTGCTTCTGATATCAAGTTCCAGCTAAGGTGCTCAGTAAAACCATTCTAACCCCAGCCTCTGTTTTAGTCTTTAGGACTACCCTCATTCCATGGTTTCCCGGTGCCTACAGTTTAGGGGAGTCCATACCTATTTCCCCTCTCTGCCAAGTTCCTCAGATGCAATCTGCTGCCACCTCATCATGAAGTCAAAGCTATTAGTTCTCCCCCTCCACCCGCTTAATGTTCTTGCATTCAGCATGTCAAACTGATATACTAATGAAAATCACCTGAAGCTCAGGGGAATCAAACTTTTGTCAAGTATATGCAATTTGAAATTGTCTTTTAAAAATGATTGGGAAGACCTTTAACTAAATAAATGCAAATGTGCTCAAGACAGCTTCATGAGAGCTGTCTTCTTTCAAAGTTGAATTTTGAACAAGGCAGAATAACAATTAGGTGATATATTTCCCTGCAGCAAGAGAGTAGTTAACTTCCCCCAGGCAAAATGATCTCAATGATCATTATTTATTAATGAAAGGAAGAGGCAAATTGGTGAACTGCTGGGGTTGAGAAGATAGTGGATGACACTCACTAATGGAAGTACTTAGACCACGTTATGGCTGAAATAAACAGGCTGGGTGGTGGCACACGCCTCCATTTCAGAGAGGAAAAATGCAAAAAAAATTCCTCAATGAATCTGTTCCTCACAAATGGCATTAAAAAAATGACAGTCTCCCTTTCAGCTAAGCAAAGGTAACAATAAAGGGAAAAGAAAGATAAATAAATAATGTATGGATGTCTTTAGATGACACTTTTATATGTTCTTTAAATAAATTTTGATAATGTAGCTTTATATCATTACATACAGCTGCTGTTGCAGTGAATATTCCAGTAGGGGGCAGCATTTTGCTAAATGTAAAAGATTGCCATTTAGAACTCATCCATATACACGTGTATATACAGGTATATCAACACTATTTATATACATAGATATCTAGAGGGCAACCTTTCATTGCCTTTGAGTATCTGTATGTCCACTCCCACAATATATACTGGAGACATACTGTGTGAGCACATACGACAAGTATATGTACACATGCTGTCACATGTATATATACACTTCTGTCTGTGTGTGCATAAGAGCTTTAAAGGCACAATATATAGGGATGCAAGTTTTCTAGAGCTGCAGCAAAGTTAAAACTTACAACTGAGAAAAGTCAAAATGAAATATAGCAGAATTCACTTCACAAGAATTAGTTTCATTGTGACTAAAATGACTCAGTTACAGGATTCAAGAGGCTTTCATGTGACTTGGTATGCTTTTCATTAAAATGTGGCTCAACCACAGAACAAATCAAGCTAGCTAAGTGATAATTTAATGGCAATAAGTGTGAAAATCAATCTAACACTATCATAAAATCCTAATTTCAATTATATGTTCAATTTAAGTAAATGTCCAAAAATTAGGGAACATTTTTCAAAATTAACAGTTTGGATGTTTGCATTCTTTTTGCTTAAAATTACTACCCAATTTTCAGGATAGTTATTTAAAAAATATTACTGAGGGCTGGGAATGTGGCTCAGTGGTAGAGTGCCTGCCTAGCATGCATGAAGCCCTGGGTTTGATTCCTCAGTACCACATAAACAGAAAAAGCTGGAAGTGGTGCTGTGGCTCAAGTGGTAGAGCACAGAGAGGCTCAGGGACAGCCCAGGCCCTGAGTTCAAACCCCAGGACTGGCAAAAATAAAAATAATTTTAAAATATTACTGATACATATTTTCTGGGAAAAATCTCAGAGACAAAACATCTTTCAAAGAAACAACTGAAAAGTAAATGTCTTTTAAGCCAAATACTACATAGAAAGCATAATAGGTGTGAAAAAATATAATGCAGAGCTGGTGGTGTAGCTCAGCAGTAGAGTACTTCGCCATCATGTACAAGGCCTGGGTTTAATCCTCAGCACCTCAAAACAAAGGGAAACTCTGCAGGGTTGTTTCTGTTTTTGTTTAAGTGAGAGAGAGTAACCATAGATGGACAGTAGTGGAACTGATGGGTAAGAATAGCCAGGTATTCATTTATGATAGCAGTAAATAAGACAATGCAAAAGGGCTTTCCGTATGCTCCAATGATGTACTCTAGACCCTCACCTCCTCCTCTGCTTACAGAAGAATCCAGAATTTTCCATAGGCATATAATCTTGCTTAACAAAGGTTGTTTACCTATTACACACACACATTTTTTAGGGAAATATATGTATATAGCATTATCTATACACACATATGCATACGTGTATCTATAGACTTATACAAATGTATAAATAAACATAATACTTTTCAATCTTTCCGTTGACAAGGCAAGTTCACATTCAGCAAAGTGCCACCACATCCCATATACACATCTCTGTACAGATTTACACAAAGGGGTCAGTTTCCACCCTCCAATCAGGGGGAATATTTTCTAGCACATCCCACTAACCAGCCACTGAAGGGAGAAATGGCACCAATACAGACTCCCTTCTTTCATTTGCATGCATATGTACAAGAAATATGCAGATTTCTTAAAATCCAAAAGCAAAAGTGAATGAAACTGGGAGGTGCTTAAAAAATACAAGTGTAAAAAAGAACAACATACAAAGCTTTCCTAGGTCTTGACTATATCTAAGATAAGGTAAATGAGAGCTCAATGACAATTTCAGATTTTCTGATTATCAGAAAATACTATTATCAGATGTTCTGATGTATCAAAGCATATGGTTTTTATATTGAAAAAATGTGATTAGAGCACTTAACTCTATAGTTTGACTGTATTAAGCAACCTGATAATCCAGTAATGCAGGTAGAGCAAAATGGCAACTGAAAACTCAAAATATAGGAATGTTTTGTTTGTTTGTTTGCTTAATTCCACATGAATTGGATCAAAGTCAAGGGTAGTCTTAATTTTTCCTACAGCCAAAAGATGGGAGCAGGAGCATTCTAGCTTTATAACTAATGGCACAACTGAGTAAAATTTATTAAAATGTGTTTTGGAACTGATATCACCTCAGCTTTGAAATATGCATGGTGAAATGATCCCCACCAACTCCTTAAACAAAGCAGCCCCTTCAAAGTTTCTTTATAAAAGGCCTATAACTTTTCTTACCTTTACCCAGATCAATAGCACTTATTATTTAGAATATGAAGAAAATTATTATTAGCATAAAAAAGGGTCAACAGATCTCTGGTCCCATCACCCAAACGGACGAACATTGTTCCTGTTCGGATCTGTTTGTTCTGTCTCTCCCTCTCCCATTTTAATGCTCAAAATGGAGAGGCTGGTCTTAGAATCTGCTATTTTTCATGTCACTTTAAAAACAGAATAAGTTAACCCAAAGATTAAAATAAAATGCACATGATATCAGAACTAGCCTTTTAACATAACATAATGAAAAATTTGGTGTAGTTATACAAGAGACTATGAGAAAGAAACTCTCATATCCTCACCTAAATAAATCATATTTCTACAATACATTCGGTCCCATTCCTCTACTTTTACATAAGCACACATTCATATCTCTCACACACGTGCCCCCAATGTATATTTTTGCATGTGTATAAAAAAACACAGACATCTACATGCACACAAGTAATTTAATTCTATTTTTAAGTCACAGTGGGAATTCCTTAGTGAGGAGGGATAAAAAAGTTCCTGAATAAGACACTGAGAACATCTAGACTTCTTATTTTCTCTATTTTACTTCCCAACTTACAGAATAAACTGTAAATTAAAGAATAAATCCATAGGAAATAAAAGAGGTCTTAAAAACTTAGTTTACAAATTCCAGCTACAGTAGTTGGAGTTTTACTTGATCTATGTAATTCTACTTACCCTGTAACTAAGCTTCTAGCCATCTTAAGTGTAAACCACAGATCATTTACTAAAGAACATGATTCTCAACAGTTCTATGGACAATAATAAATGGTCTAAAGGTGTTCTACATTTTGAGGCCCCAGGATATCCTTTTATTTTATATATCTGCAAGGTAGCAAAGGATAGCTATGCACCTTGACACGGCAGAGATCCAGTGTAAAAAGGTGCTTCACTAGTTTGTTTTGTTAAAAGAAAAAAGCAAAACAAACAAAAAGCTCATATATAATTTTTTTAGCTATTAAACACATAGGCAACATAATTCATTACACTCAATACAGCTTTAGTATAAAACTTATAATTTATGAGGTGATGTTAATAGCATAAATTAATATACCTTTTCTCTTAAAATCTACAATAAGTATTCTGAAAGCTCATTGGGGAAGGAAATTCTTAAATAAAAGTTTTAAAGCTGTGCGTGATGGGAAAGGATTCTGCACACTGAAGCTGAGATGAGAGCCTGAAGTAGAAAGGAAAAAAGTCCTAGGTGAGACACTGCAGGCTACAAAACCGAAATGTTTTCTCTTCTTACGCTCTCTTCAATGATGAGTCACCTTTAGTTTCTTTGAAAACTATTTTTTTTTAATTTTAAAAACTGCCCTAATTTCCGCAAGGAATCCCTGAGACATACTCAATACTATACAGTGAAGAGCTATCACTGCTTAGAAGAATGCAAACAATGTCATCAAGTGTCAAGCTTTCCACCATGTTCACTCTAACCCACTGGAACCAACTGTACCTTAACCAAATGGGTTGGTTGGAGTCATTCTGGGGGAAATCGGTCTGTTCCCCAAGAAAAAGAAATGGTGTGGCCTTTGTCTGCATTGGAGCCTTCTGCACTGCACATTGGAAAGTTTTCCATGGGGAACTTTGGGTGCATATAGAGCTTACTTCAGTGGTCCCCAGCTTTAAACAAACAAACAAAAAGTGAACGCAGGGGATTCTATTAATCCTCAGCCATAGTCAGTACAGATCATGTGTGTGCTCACACATACCTCAGTACTGGGTGGACAAGAGCACGCAGGTAGGGGGGAGGAAGGAGAGCTGTGCTGCCAGAAGGAGCTCACTACAAGTCAGATAGAGTTTTTCTCTTAGAATACCTAAGCTTGAGATTGCTCAAAAATTCTTAGATATATGCTCAAATTACCCAAACATTTCTGATATTCAAGAACAGAAGATAAAGTTATATCAAATTTGCTCCCTCCCTGAAATGCCACAGCTCCTTTTATTAGCTCTATATCACAGCTGAGGGGAAAGCTAACTAAATAAACATGAAAGGATCCCTATGACCCACAATTATAGCAGTAATGACACTGGTTATTAGAGATTTAATTGTTCATATGTGTTGTGTTTTCTCTCCTGTACTGGGAAAAAAAAGTTTAAATATGTATGTGTTCATCACAGGTAGTCTATTACAAAGCTTTTGAAGACAGAATTTAAAATGTTTATTTAATCTATTCAACATGATTTTAGTTCTCTCCAATTAAGATAGAGCAAAGTTTAAAAGATCAAGATATTATCAAATTATTTTACTTTTCTACAGAACGCCAATGAAGATCCCATTACTTTTAATTTATTGAGGGGGAAAAACACCTATAGTCATTTGTGAATTAATAAAAATATGTGCATACACATATATAATCTATTAAATATATTTGGAAAAAATCCTTAGAACAATGTATTTGTGATGAAAGAGATTCAAATTAAGACTATTCAGAATAACTATTTTCTTTCAAGGCATTGTCTAAACTGTCTCATTAAACTGGAAGGTTCTGTTGGCCATTCAGCAAAAGATTCTATTATTCTACATAGACCAAATTAAGAATAGAACTTAATTTAAAGAAAGTTAGGCTAAAAAAAAAAGGATGCAGTTGGAAACTTGACATCTACAATGTTTTAATGAATCTCAAATCTATTCAATAGCATTAATATCCTTCTGGTTTTGCAGTATCACCCCACAACCACTTTTTGAACCTTTTGAAGTTAGAGAAAAGGCATCACTCTCCTTCAGACATTCTAACGAAGCCTATCAACCATTCCCTAGATGCTAGAACACAGGAGAGGGCAGACAGGACCAATGAACTGACAGTCAGCGATTCACCTCCATGTGCTCGAATTCTAGTGCCAAATTTATGGAAGTACATGCTGCTACAGGTCAACAGAAGTGTTAAAAAAAAATAAAAGTTGTGAGCAGCACAGACTGGTGTCCTTCCTAAAGAACTATCTTTTCGCTATAAATTGTAATCATGAATTGAAGACAAAACTCTGTTAAAGCCTTTGTATAAGTTACAGAAAATGATGATTTCCCTAACTTCTAGGTAAAAGATTGGGCTGACTTATATAAATCTTGGGCTGGAGGCATGGCTCAAGTGGTAGAGCACCTGATGGCAAGCCAAGGCCCTGAGTTCAAACCCCAGTACCGCCAAAACAGAAAAGAAAATCTTACAGTTATTTGGCAAAACTAAAGGATTAGCATTCTCAAGTCTTATCATAAAATTGGTAACATCACTTTTAAAGAAAATAAATCACTTTCCAACTTGCTATTTGCTTTTCATAAAATAATAATCTCAAAAGAGGAACACCAGATATACTACAATGTCTGCCAACACGGAACTGCTCAGGAAGTCATTTATAAAGCAGGTGTGTTCTCTAGTCTTATTATAGAAAATCATCTTTTGCTGTATAAGCTTTGTAATGACAATTAGGAATATTTCCATTGCATAGCCTGTCACTTGGTGGGTTAAGTGTAATTGCTATTTACTGTCCTGAATTGTTTACTAGCTAGATAAACCTACTCAGAAGTGAAAATTGCTAAACCATTTGTACAGAGGGCAAAACAATGTCTTAAGTACTTTTATTAAAGTAGCATTAACAGTTAAGGGAGAGAAAGCCCATCTTTTCTTCGGATGCTATCGATCACAGTCCACAAATATCAGATCCTAAGAGCACAGAAAACATCCGTTAACTGCAGCAACTTTGAAAAATAAATCACAGTAACACGATCTAACTGGCCTTTATGTATGGTCCCAAAGAACTGCAGAAACAGAATGAGCCTTCTCTGCAACTGTTTCTCATGCACTGAACACTAGAATAAAAACTAGTTTTTACTAGTTTTAGGACCTCATACAGGATTTGTTTTTGATTCCAGTATTGCCTTACAATAACATAAGTGCTATTTTAAAGGACACTAATTTTCGTATTTTTGGAGTAAAATACACTTTGTTCCTTTCTTTGCAGATAATAGCCCACCCAATGCTAACAGATCAGAACTGCCCCCAATAACTGGAAGAAAAACATAATGATATCTCTGGGTTTATAAAATGTTTCTTCTCTCTTCCAACAAGGACTCACAGCAAGGGCAGAGCACACTGCAAGTTTGGATACTTGTCTTGAAGCAGTTGAAAAGAGGAAAGTGTGTTTCTGCGAATTTCTCAACCCTAGGCTGGCTGGTACTTCCTAAGATGGCCCCTTGCTCAACTGTCATCATGGGCATCTAAACAAAAGGGATTTAATCAACATTTTTGGTGTGAAGCTGTAACTGGCAACATTCCTGATCACTTCGTGCCTCCTTACTAGAAAGCAGAGAAGGGCTTTTAAATGCACATCAAACAGAAAATTGCAAACAATAAAATGTGCAACTTACTGCAAACTCAGTTTTGACACCTAAGGAATTTTAAACAGCTAACATGAGAGACAAATACCCAGAAAAAATTCAAATAAACTACCCATGACCTTCCCTTCGCTGTCAAAGAAGAGCTGATTAGGAAGTGCATGTGCTGCTCTGCTACAACCTTTAATTAGTACACAGTGGAAACAAAACAAAATCACTGGGAATGCAGCTCAGCAGAGGAAAGGACACTAGAGCAGAGGCAACTATTCATCATCATTTTACTGACAAAGGTTCACAGGCGAGAAATATTCAAATGAGCTGTTTTTACTATTCAGAATAGAAATTTATGGTGATACCAAATATAATTTTGCTTTGTGACATAATTTAGAAATTTATCAATCTGCAAAAGGCAAAGCTATTAAAAATAAATCTTCCAATTAATTATCATGATTTAAAAAAAAGTAAATATATTACAAACGTATTTTTGGCCCTCCCCCCAAAAAAACTTCAATAAATACAAAATAGGGAGTATTATGATTTCATACAGTCATGTGACATTCCCTCCAATATCTTAGGCACGAGGTATCTGCATAGTGCCTGCTGATTACCATCATTCCTTAAAAAAGCAGAGGAGAAAACCTTTGAAAAGAAGAAACTGGTTAAAACTAGCATGAGCATAAAGAATACACACAGGAAAATGGGAAAGCATTCAAACCTTTACCTATTAGAAAGGAATTGAGAGCAAATCATCCCTGATAAATGAGTTACTATACCACATCATTTACTCATCTTTTAAAACATGTATTTAAATTAGAACAGACTCAGGTATGAATAGCCAGCAAATGGTATCTTACACGACAGTGAACTTCTCAGGAAAAGCAGAGCAGAGATGCTTTTTAAATCTAGCGCAATCCTTCTTGTGAGGGCAAGGCAGACAGAAAGAAACCTCACATATATTATCTCATAGCCATCGGCTTACTAAACTCCCAATAGGATTTTTAACCTTAAAATCTTGATACTTTAAAATAATTTTTTTCAAAATCGTTTCCAGATTGACTTAAGCCTAACTTAGATTCTTTAAAAAAATACCAAAGGTAGGTAAAATTTACGTCAATTTCCACATTCTGCTTTGAGAGAAACTTTAAAATGTGTATCCTTCAGATATTATACATCACTCCACAACTGGCACACTGAATCTACAAGGGTCTTCAACATTTTACAATCTTACCAAAGAATCACTACTGTAAACATGAATTTCGAACGCAAAAGATGGACCAAGGAGTTCACAGATATCATCTTTCAAACCTATCTGACCTATCCTGCTTTTTCACATCAAAATAGTTTCTTCAATTACACCTTGCAAATGTGTTCCATGAGCAAGGGACATAGAAACGAATGCACATCTGAAAAGGCAAAATGACCCCTAGACCCCCCCAAACCTCGAGAGCCCTGAAGTCACTGCAGGTGAGCTTTCCAGGCATTCCCAGACAGGGACATGACTGCAGCTTCTCCTGTCTCATTTCTTCACAACTACCTTTGAGCAGAAAAGGGTTGTGCTATTTATTCACATGACCAGACCCTCCCTATTAGGAAACTTGAATGAACTCAGTGGGAAAGCATGACCAACCTTATGAAGGTGGTGTGAGATGTAGGGAAGAAAAGAGCTCATTTCAGGGGTAAACAAACAACAAAGCAAGGGGACAGTTACTTCCTGCACTGCACAAAACACACACATGGGTGCACACACACTCACAGGCGGTCAATGACGTCTCTTTTTCTTCTTAACCATTTCACAAATTAGGAATGGCATCCTGGCCTCACTGTGGTGTTTGGCAGTTGCTGCTAGGTCAGGCCTTGAGCTGCCTCCACCACCCGCTACCTCCTACACAGGAACTCAGTTAACAGGATCATTCTCTGGAGAGCCACCTATGTAAAAACCTGGCTACAGAATGGAAAGCACTGATCTGCACACTAGGAAATAGTAAAGGGCACTGGTAATCTGAGGTATCTTCCACTTCTAGGACTTGCTGCAAAAAAAATCCATCCTATCCAGTCACTGTGCTGAACCACCACGGAAACCACCGGCCGAGAGGACCTGCCAGGAGGGAATGAGCACCAGTGCTAAGGAGCACATGTGAACACTGAAGTGAGGTCCACTGCACGGCCACGTGTTGAGCTGGAACGGGGAGCCCCTCTAATCCCCATCCGTCTCTTTTAAATCTTCTTTAGGAAAAGGGGGGAGGGGCAAAGGAGGAAACGAAGATAGAAAACAGGCTCCCCACCTTCCTGCCTGCACAGATGCACTCAGTTGGGAGAAGGAAAGGGAGGAGATGCATTATTGGTACTTGTCGCCGTGGCACCTGTTACTGTGAAGCCTGTAGGAGGGGCTATGGAGCTGTGGCTGGGCTGCAGGTCCTTAGGAATGCCACTGTGAGAACTCAGCTGGTGGCCGAAGGCTGCGCTGAACTGAGGGAGTTGCTGTTTCGGAGAGGTGGAGGCCATGAGTTCAGCGGAAGGCTCCATGCCACTGAAGCTGGTCTGCGGTAACCCCGGAAGCACACTGGAGCTGCTGGGGGTCACGGTGGCGAAGGCAGGCTGTGTGGTCTCTGAGTTCGACGTGGTGGGTGGTGTGGAGAGGGAAGTGGAAAGAAGATGTCCATCTGCGCCGAGAAGGTTGCTAAAGGGAGAGGGATCTCCAAGGTTGACAGGGAGATTACCCCAGTGAGTTCTGGGGTTTACCACTCCTCCAAGTGGCACCTCGAGTTGGGTTGGGAGCAAGTGCTGTGCCATGATGGGCATCTCTGCTGAAAAGGTAGCTGCCATAGTATCAGCAGAGTACGATGTTGTATGGGGAGAGGTGATATGGTCACTGTAGGGAGACGGCACGTGCTCGCTGTCATAATGGCTTCCATGGGGCGAGGAGTGTGAATGATCACTGCTGTATTGCTGTCGTGAGGTGATTAGGTCATCTGCCTTGCTCAGCAGCTGGGCAGGATGTGGCCTCTGTGAGGCATGGCTGCCGTCATGAAGTCCATGAAACTGTCCTGGGAAGGCTCTCTCCCCAAGTGCACTCTGGCTGATCAGAGTGGCAGAAGTAAGGCCAACACTGGCAGGGGCAGAAAACTGCCCCTGGATCTGCCCTGCCAGGGGTGTAGGTGGGTTAGACAAGGTAGCAGAACGGAGCAGGTTCTCATCCAGCTCTAGACTAGAAAAATTATCAGGTACTATTCGCCCATTCAATAGCTCCCCTAGGTCTGTGTTCACTTCTCGGCTCAAGGACTGGATTCCTGAAGCTCCAGTGCCTGTGGAGAACACTCCCAGTCCTCGGTCAGACAACTCCTGGACTGGCACACCATCTGACTGGGTAAGTACCCCAATGGTACTCAGGCACTCAAGAGAAGTTACAGCCTGCAAAGCCCGTTCAAGCTCCTCGGCCTCTTCAGTCGTTGGGAGGAGGTCTCCATTCTTTCCTGGGTCAACAAAAACCAGCAAGAATGATGCATGATATATATTACAAAAAACAAACAAACAAACAAAAACATACATTTGAATTATTTCAAATAACTGATCAGATAAAAGTCTCTTGAAAAATTTCTAAGAACTGAACTAAAAGGAAAAGTAAGCAAAATATTCATCTTCAGAACATGTATCTGTGCTAAAACTTGAACCACCACCATTAGTTTATTGAAGATATTCTCAAAACTATCTTATCAACTGATAAATTCCTAGGAAGTCTAAGGCTTACCAACTTAAAAACTCATGCTGATTATATCTGAATATACCTGTTTGTACCTAAAATATTAATGTCACTGAGATAGAAAACAAGGCTGTATAGGACAGGTACACCTAACTTTGTCTATACCTAGACTTCCCAGCTAGAGGTCAATTAGGGAACACTTGAACATACCACCACCAAATACACTGTTCTGGTTGTGACTTATCTTTCAAAATGCTTATGTTACACCTTACTCTCTAATCCTTCCCTTCCAGCCTAATTTCCATAAAATAGAAGCCCATGAACTGACTTTGATTTCATCTCCATTATTAAAAAAAATTAGTTATTAGAGCCAGGTGCTGGTGGCTTATGCCTACAATCCCAGCCATTCAGGAGGCTGAGATGGAACTATCATGAATATCTCCAAATAAGCAGCAAAAAGCCGGAAGTGGAGACACAGCAAGTGGTAGACTACCAGTGTAAGTGAAAAAGCCAAGTGGGAGTATGAAGCCCTGAGTTCGAGCACCAGTAGTGGCCCCACCCTGAAAAAAGGCAACCAGGGTACTGTGGCACATACCTGTAATCCCAGGTACTCACCAGCTCGAGGAAGAAGTTCTCCCATCTCAACCAATAAGCTGGGTAAGGTGATATGTGCCTCTAATCCTAGCTAAGCAGGAGGCATAACTGAGAAAATCAGAGTCTGGGCTAACCAGGGCAAAAACTCAGGATTTTATTTAAAAAAAAAAAAACTACAACAGGAAGGATTGGGAAGTTGGCTCAAGTGGTAGAGCAAGCACCAAGCTTAGCAAGCATGAAGTCCTGAGTTCAAACCTCAAGGTGCTCCCTTCCCAATTTTTCTTTGTAACTAAAGAAACTAAGTTTTTTGTTTTTAAAAAAAAGAGGGGGACTGGGAGTTAGTGGCTCAGTGGTAGAGCGCTTGCCTTTCATGCCTGAGGCCCTGGGTTCGATTCCTCAGCACCACATAAGCAAAAAGAAAAAAGCCAGAAGTGGCGCTGTGG